ATTCTGTCTCTCACAGTTGAAGTGTACCTCTGGTACAAATTACTGACCTCTGTCATCATTTTAAGTGGGGGAACTTGCACAATCGGTGGCTGACTAAGTACTTTTTTGCCCCACTGTAGTTAAAGACCATTAAAATTCTGTATATCTCAGGAACCTGTTTACACAAAGGAACATGTACAAGTCATTCAGTTTTTTGTACGTATATTTAAATCACCTTGCCAGGTATGAAAAAAAGTTTCAAGGCTTACACTAATAAGAATTCTCAAGTACAAGTGTAAATTCTACTAAGTATAGTTTAGCGCTTAGATGGGGGCTGGACGAGGTGAGGGTGTTATTATGGCTAATTGCACAATTCAAGCTTTTGTCACAGTTCACCACTAACATGTGGCTTGTCACCTGGGTTGACTGCTTTCTGGCGTTGCTCATAATTGAAAGAACAACACAGCTGCTGTTGCAGAAATTGTCGAGACTAAAGTGGGTAGCGGAAGGAAACAGAATGCAACAGTCAATCAACTGGAGGCTTATCTCAACTGTCCATATCCTCTGTGCCTGCCTGATGTCACTGTGTTCTTCTGTCACATTGCATTTAATTAGAGTTTCCCTTTTATCAAGGTCTGTCAAGGGGAAAGTGTTCTGGTGTCCAATCATCCCCGCCACTGCCATTGACACAATGTTGTCAACCTTTTCTGTTTTATTCTTTCTAAAGGCAGTGGCTCTCTAAACATTAACTGCTGCTGTGACACATCACCACTCCAGCTGAATGAAGGCCAGTAAATAATACCTCCAACCTTGACTCACAATTAAATTTCCCTTTAATCACACACTTTTTTCTTTTTTTACTTCCACAAAAAGACTGGAAGGACAAGAACATCCACATGAATATCAATATTCATGCAGGGCATTTCATTACCTACTTACGGCTGATTGTGGGAGTTAACAGGGTGGGACTGAATGCTTGTTCATGTGTGTACAATTTAAAACTTGATTGAGAATCATAACAACGAACTTGTACACAGAGGACACAGTTATCACAGTATTGACTTAAGTATTTGGCTTTTCATTTATTGAAAGCCGTGTATTAGTGTAGAATTCAAGCAAAGGTTTATATGTGAAGGCTGTTGGATTAAAAAACACTCCATTTCAGATTTCTTCTTTGTTTTGGAGGAAATTATTCCATGCAATGATAGTCCCTGTGGCTCAGTCAAGGAAGAAAACTTAGAAAAAGTTAAGCTTTATCAACAGAAAACAAATAGACTCTACTACAGCAAAAGCTGGGAAACTGGGAGAGCATCCCTATGTATGAGGCCAATGTGCACTGAGATCTTAACATGGTCGTGTTAAACTACTTGAGAAGCCTGGACAAATATGTGTTGTTGGACAGATTCTTCTTATAAAGGAAATGCCAGAAAGACTGGTCAGACCGGCCATTGGTCAGTTGAATTCATTTGTTAAATAAATGATTGGCAGTGAATCTTTTGACAGTATTTTTTTTATAGCTGCTTAGTTAAAAATACCTTACTAAAATGAAATAATAAGACCTAACATTTCTTCTTCCAGAGAAATAAGGCTAGACAAGCCTACAGTCAATTACGTGTCTAAGTCTGGTCACTGCTATGCTCACTTTACTACCTTTGAATGCAACTGTCAACCCAGAGAGCTATTGCTATGCCAAGCAGGGAGGACGACAAATTCACCAAGCAGGGTTGGCGACTCTCTTGAGGCGAAACTAGTCTGTCTCTACACTGGAGTTGAAGAAAGTCACTGATTCTGCAACACTGGGGAGGTTTTATATGTGGCCCATTGGAGTAGCTTAAATAGTCTAATGCACAAATGGCCACTTAAAAAAAAAACTACCTCTGTGTAGATGATTGATTATGGGATATTTTCAGTAAGAAGGGAGACTAATTTGACCACATCTGCAATCTTGTTTGATTTGAAACACCTGGATGTATTCCAGAGGGTCCATGCCTGATCTATTTTTGTTTGTGATAACGACTGGCCCATGAAAGATCTCTGCTGAAATTGTCATGGCATATCTGACATGGTAAATTATTTGACAAATGTGTTTTTATTTCAATATAGTCTTATTACAATATGATTTTTTTCACACTGAGACGACTCCTCTGTTGAATTAAGCAGACTAGCCTAGCTGAAGATAATGATTACATATAGGAATATGTTCAGTCTTCAGTTTAACCTGTTGGATGAAATCTGTAGTTGAAATGTCACTCAGTAAAATAAGTTGGTTAGACTACATGTATTTTGTCTTTCCCTTAAAAAA